TTTAAAGAGCCACTCCTTTTTTATACCTTTAAGTTTGTGAATTTTATTTCTTTCTTTTATTTCTTTCCTACCTTTGTTTTCTCTCCCATGTGTTTTAGCATGTTGAACTTGTTTCTTTTTTATTGTGTTAGTTATATGCTTATCTTGGTCTCTGACATTCTGCCTACCTGTGTATACAGTTTAGTCTATCTTAAGAAATTTTGCAAGAGGGATAAGATATGCTTCTTATGGGTACATACATGTAGCTAACTTCTGGGCCTGAGTGATCTTTTTTTCTTCTTTGTTATCTATACAAGGCACTGCCCTGCCTCTGGCCTCAGTGATCCGACCCAGTGCCCTGGTTGATTGAAACCGGCATGGAATGCGGAGTTGTGGGCTCTCTGCTGAGCTATGTACAAGTTAGTCATACTCTTTCCTGATCTCTGTTATCTCAAGACTTGAAGTACCAATGGAGCTACTCCTTCCTCTCTCTCCATCTTTCATAGCAGTCCTGTTCTCTGTTTGTTGTAGGCCGTTTTCTCAACTGTTTTTCATCCATGTTCCACTGTTAAAGAGTCTGAAGCATTTATGCTTCAACTTTGGCATGCTTTAAATGATAGAGGGTGAGGAGGCAGGAGAAGATGTGTTAAATCCTACATCGTGGTCCTAAAACCCATATTGCAAAATGTCTGAGCACAAGCTAGATTAGTGATACATAACGATGAAGAGCATGATTTTTAATCACAGAAGATATTCAGCTAACATACGCCAGGATAGCCACATTATCTGTGTATGATTGGCATCTATTTTGATTGGTTTCTGTCCGTGTCATGTTTGCTGCTAAATAATTTAAATGTCACATTTACCTGTAATAATTGCAGAGTATGGACAGAGCATTCTGATAGTCTGGAAAACCTGGTTAGGAAATAATAGTTTGGAAGCCCTTGCTATTTTTAAATTGGTCGACAGTTGTTGATATCTGTTTTTAATCTGCCTGTTTGCTATAGGAGGAAACTTTTGAGGAATCAGAGGAGGATTCCTCTGTCCATTTGATAGGAAGAAGATGTAGGATAGCCCCGCAAGACCAAAATATGTTTTTTTCTGACCTGTTGCTGAGCTTTAATTTCTATCTGGTGGAATCATGAAAATGGACTCATGATATTTTCCCTCCTAGAAAGCTATATTGACATAGCCTAATGTCTCTATAGCCTCAAACTCAAAGCAAACAATGCTTATATAAACCTGCTGTATTTACCCACTGGGTTAAGATGCAAATATTAGCCAGGATTCCAAGTCTTATCCAAGATATCACTTTCTTGTTTCAGGCTTCACCCTTTTTAATTTATCTTTAATGTCACATTGTTGCTATTTCTTTGGAAGATGGTCAGGGTTTGCTGACCATCCTTATGTCAATCAGTAGCAGGCCACCTGGAGCTAACTCTGAGTACAGCTTTAATGGAGTTAAATACATATACACAAACACACACACACGCACACACACACACACAGTGAGGTTCATGTTTTGGTGTACTAAAGTTCTAGGCAACCAAAGGAAAAGGCTGGAAACATCACTTTGTCTGTAAGGATAAAAGCTTGAGGTCTTTGGACACAGTAGGTGGTTAAAAGGGCCTTCAAATTGCAGGCTTAGAGATTTCCTCAAAATGCCTCCTCCACAGCTGTCCTCCTAATGGACTTTTCAGAGGCTCAGCTGTGTTCCGTAATGGTTTTTAAAAGGTTATATTCCCATATAAAGATTTTGCCCCTTTTTCTTTAGGCAAAGATTGCTGAAAGCAAAACAAAATACGCCTTTGAAGTGGGAAAAAAATCAGACATCTAAGACATAAAAGGAAAGATTTCAAACTTGGAAAATTAATACCAACTTTAGGACTGCATTTTTAGGGACCAGCAATGTCTAATAAATTCTGATGGCAATTTGATGGCACCTGAGCTGGACACTGAAGACAGGAAACTTGCAGATGAGATATTATCAATATGCAATCTTGGATCCCTACAGTTGCTTCCAATTGCAGTTTCACTAAGCTCTTCAAGCAGTGTTTCTCAAAGTGTGATCCCTGGAATGGCAGCATCAGCATTACCTGGGAACTTATTTGAAATGTTCATTCTCAAGCTCTTATTTATATCTATCCACTAAATAAGAATCTCTGGGGGTGAGTCCCCTCAGTCCGTTTTTGTGATCTCCCCCCACCCCCGGGACTCTGATGAATACTACAGGTTAAGAACCATTGTTTTGAAGAATGTCCTTAGAAAGAATGGCATCAAACATCATAGCCACCCCTACTCTCCTTTTAGATTGTCTCCATTTCTGCTATGTATACTTCTCTTGGTGATTAAGCAATGCTCACAAAGAACTTGCAAAGGACTGGCAGAAGTCTTTCAACTACCAGGAGTGGGAGTGAAAGCAATGCTTGCTTTTCTAACTGTCTCATCCAGGCCTTTGATCTCCTTTACAGGTGAGAGATAGGGACTGAATCTCTCTGGCTTTGTTGCTACTGATTTTCCTACCTGCTTCTGGCCTCATTCTCCTTTAGTGATCAGCCTACATTTCCTTATTTCATGTTTTTTTTTCCATCTACCTTGGTCTCTTGGTTTGTTCTCCATTCTGCTTGCCTCTTTCATTTGCCATCACTTCAGCTCTCACAAGAGAAGTGAGCTTTGATTGGTTGCTTCTGTTGCGAGAGATGGAGAGATGGCAACTGTCCAAGAGAGCACTCACAGGTAGGAGAATTAATACTGCACGGTCTGCTTGCAATCCATTTATATTTAAATTAGAACCCACCTCTGATGTAACTAATAAAACTACCATTTCAAAAATGAAGAGATTGAGGCTGAGAGAAGATAACCTTCCCAAAGTGGTACGTAGGAACCAAATCCATTTTTGCCTGCCTGAAAACATATGGTTACTCATTCCTCGCCACACTGTCATATATGTGTTAGCCTCCTATTTTGTCTGTACTATATTTCCGGTTTGTAGTAACAGATATTCAGGGCTTAAAACTTATAGGTGTTTCTGGGTTTGTTTAGTCATAATTTTAAATAAAACAAGGCCAAATGCTTTTGTTTCAGATGTAGATAATGGGGCAAAAGGTAAAACAGTTTTTATTCACTTACCATTTCTTTTCCCTTCTTTTATACTCCTGTTTCACTTTTTTATCTGCATTTTAAAAATGTCCTTGGGAAATGCTATTCAAGATGAGGGAAGGAGAGAAAGATGGGATTTATGCTGATATGTTTTGCAGTTCAAATGTAAAACAAAGGAGGAAAATGGAGCATGTAAAGACGAATAGTACATTTTTATGCTTTAATAAAAATATGGAGAAAACAAAAATAATTAGTCCTTTTAATTTTAAAATGGGGTGCAAAGTAAAGAATAAGGTCTGATATCTATTTCTCCTGAGAGACAGCATCATTGGGAAATGGTCATAGGCTGCCACAGAAAGGATTTAAGTATGATGGGGTTAGGAAAGAGGGCTTGGGTTGCTCATTGTGTTTCTCCTGGTTGAGTTGCTATGACTTAAAGAATGATCTTCCCTGCTTACTTAGTTGAGGATCTTTAATTCTTGTACTGCCTGAAGACCTCTCCTGGATGCAGATATTTTCCAGACAACTCCTGTAGTTTCTTGCAGAGTAAAAGTCTCATGGAGTTGTGGATCATTAACCTCTATTTAAATCTTGGATGTACCCATTTTAAGCAAGTAAGCCCATATCTGAGACTCTGTTGTTTTATTTTACAATATCGGTGATTCAATTTCTTGATATAACCAAACTACCTCAACAAGATCGGTGACATAATTCGTGGAGCCCTGAGCTAGATAAAACTGTAGGACCCCTTGTTCAAAAATTATTGAGAGTTTCAGGATGGCCCAAAGAAGGGCATTAGACAAGTCCCTTCTCAGTGTACAGTTCTGTAGGGGCTGCACAGGCCATATGCCCATGAAGTCAGTTCTGTGCTTCACTGTCTCTAAGATGATTCGTCTCTGAGAACCTAGAGGATAATATGGCCCAAGAAGACCCAGATTAGAGCAAGCACAGTTGATATGTGATTTTGTGCCACTGACCTGCCAAACTTCATACTGCTTTGTTCAGACTTGCTATGAGCAGGTTAAGCCAATTATTTGTAACACACACTCTGGATGTATTCAAATAAATCTAAAACTTTCAGTTTCATTTTTGCAATTTTTGCTCCCCAAGTTTATTGTAAAGGTGAGATGAGATCACAGATGTAGAGTACATGCCCCATTGTAAAAGGAAACTAGTATTTTCCCCAGATATATTTCTGAAATTCCCTACACAAAATCACAAGATTATTGATTACAAGGCAAACTCTGAGATCCCATCTCAGACTTAATGAATCAAAAGCTCTGTGACTGGAACATGGGAACCTGCATTTTAACTAAGTGTATCAAGAGGTTCTTATCCCACCAAAGGTTTAAAATAACTACAACAAAAACAAGTTACCCATCAGTCCCCGCCCAGTTCCAAAGATAACCTTGATATGTAATTTGTACTGGACTAAAGCCTGGCCATCACCAAAAACATGTAAATTTTAACAATGACAAAATTCTTTTCTTTTTTCTTTCTGTTGCAACAACTGTTACTGCAACCACAGATATAACAAAACAGCAATGGTTCATTAAGTGTGTTTATATACCAAGTGCTTAATAAGCATTTTATTTAATCCCCAAATAACTTGTGAAGTAGGAAATGTCCCATTTTTATAAGAGAGATGACTGATACTCAGAGATTTTAAAGGACTTGCAGTTAGCAAATAGCGGCTTTGTAATAAATGTCTGGTCTTCTGTGGGCCAGAAGTCCATGGTGTTCCGGTACCTGGTACTATCTTTCTGAGCCGGGAAGTAAATGAAGAATGTGGGTAAGTTGTCCCTATAAATTTACTTGCTTTTTTCGGAATCTAGATGTAATGCCCTTCTTATCACTAAACTTGGCGTTTGGAGCAAAAATCCTCTGAAGTACCCAAGTAATGAAGAGGATCCTTTGCTTAGTGTAAGGTATTCCAGGAATAGGTAAATTGAGTTACCATGTTTTCTTATGTCTGAAGCTAACTAAGCCCTGCCTCTCTAAACCCCGCCTCACTAATGAACAATTTGTTACTGCCGTTTTTGTTGTTGTTGTTAATAAATCTGGCTGAATGTAAATGCCAGAGACAAACCAAGAGACTCATGGAATAATGTTGAATGGAGATATGAGCTATAAAACTATAAGAGGCACCTAAGAAGACATCGAAGGAAGTTCTTTTGTTTGCTTTCTGTTTCGAATTGCACCAATTTATCTTTTACTGAATGAGAAATACAGATTGGTGAATGAGCTAATTTTTAATCTTTTCATATATGTGAAAAACAAAGAAAAAAGAGACTGTATACAGCTTAGTCTTCTTTTCATTTTAGTTTTCATTTCTTCACTGTGTGCCAAAAGGGGAGACAGAAATATGGAAATTCAGCACAAATGAAATGAATCAAACTCTTAGGGTCTACATTTATTCCTGCTTAATAGATTAACAGTAAGAGTTATTCAGCCTGTCTATTCTTATGCCTCATAATATGTCTTATAAAACTTGTTAGATATTAGCAGAGTTATAATATACAGTAAAATTTAAAATATAAGTGCCTATGTTTAAAGTCAATACCTGTTTAATACAAATTCGGAGTTATATCCCTGGCCAAGGAAAATTTACTTTGAATTTTTAATCAAAGAAAACTTGAGTGTTTTTTTCTCCATTGAGTCTTCAATTTGGAGTTTTCTTCTGCAACAATACCATATAATCAGTGATATGGTAGTTGGTATTTAACAAGCTCTCCATGGGCAGGAAATAAAAGAACTTATTTGTTATATTTGCTGATTTTTATGCTGTGGAAACTCCCACATGGCTAAATTTTGTTGAGAGGATAAAAATAGTAACACGTGTAAAATAGACCAATGCCTGGTACAAAGCAAACTTCGTGGGAATATTGTATATTCGTAGCAAAAGTGTAGGAACACCAAATATTCATCAATAGGGGAACTGATAAACAAATCAAATATTTTTCAGTGTTTCTTATTGAGAAAGTTAAAGGTGGCTGAAGAAAGTAAACTAAATCCATGGAATATTACATGGACTCTTTCAACATTTGAAACATGTTAATTCATTGATTGGTTTTGATAGTTTCTGATGGGAAGTCAGTTGTTGTTCCCGTTACTATACCCTGTATTTATGCTGTTTATTTTTAAATCTGGGTACTTTTCAGAATTTTATTTTATTTTTGGCTTTTGGTGGCTTGCTTATGATCTTCTAGGTTGGATTGTCTGCTAATTTACTAATTTATATTCATTGGGATCTGCTAAGCTGCTTTTATATGTTGATTAATGTCCATCACCAATTTTGGAAAATCTCAGATGTTACTTCCTTAAATATTTCTTCTGTTTCATTCTCTCTAATCTTCTCACAATTCAGTTAATCACATATTAGGCCATTTGAAATAAATCTCTTATTTTATTTTTATTTTATTAACTTCTCCATCAATAAATCGTATATTAGAGTGCTTGAAGCAATTCTGTTAGATTATCTTCTTCTTCTTCACCAGTTTGCCTATCAGTCTTTAGTTTGGATAGTTAGTAATAAACATTTTTGAGTTCATCAATTATTTTTATTTTTGCTTCTGTCTACTCTGCACTTTGAACAAATCCTTAACATCAGATGTTGCCTTTTTGAGCTCTAGAATTTCTATGCACTGATCACATTTTTAATTAATAGGCTTTAGAGATAATTTTTAGATTTACAGAAAAATTAAACAAAGTAAGTTGAGTTTTTATATAATTTATTAATTCCCTACTCAGTTTTCCTATTAATAATATTTTGCATTGTGGCAGTAATCTGCTACAATTGATGATCCAATATTAAAACACATTCCTAATATAAGTCCAGTAGTTTACATTAGGGTTCACTCTTGGTATCGTATAGTCTATGGGTTTGACAAATGTAAAATGACATATATCCACAATTATAGTAACAACCACAATAGTGTCACTGACCTAAGATCCTCTGTGTTTCACCTGTTCCTTCTTTCCTTCCTTCCCCAGAAACCCTGGTAACCATGATTTTTTGCTTATTATCTCTCTAGTTTTACTTTTTCAAAAATGACTTATAGCTGGAATTATATAGTATGTAGCATTTCAAACTGGCTTCTGATATGGCTTGGCTTTGTGTCCCCATCCAAATCTCATATTGAATTCCAATCCCCCAAATTCTCATGTTTCAAGGGAGAGACCAGGTGGAGGTAGTTGAATCATGGGGGTGGTTTCTCCAATGCTGTTCTTTTGATAGTGAGTGAGTTCTCATAAGATCTAGTGGTTTTATAATGGGGCTTTTCCCCCTTGCTTGGCATTCTTCTTGTCACCTTGTGAAGAAGGTACCTTGCTTTCTCTTTGCATTCTGCCATTATTATAAGTTTCCTTAGGCCTCCTCAGTCATGTTGAACTATGAGTCAATTAAAACTCTTTCCTTTATACATTATCCAGTCTCAGGCAATTCTTTTTAGCAGTATGAAAACAGACTAATACAGCTTCCTTTACTTAGCAGTATGCATTCAAGCTTTCTCCATATCTTTTTGTGAATTGATAGCTCATTTCATTTATTGCAGAATAAAATTCCATTGTCTAGATGTACCATAGTTTATCTGTTTACCTATTACGTTGAAGACCATTTTAATTGCTTCCAAGATTCAGCAATTATGAATAAAGTTGCTATAAACATCCATGTACAAGTTTTGTATGGCTGTAGGTTTTTAACTCATTTGGATAAATACCAAGGAGCATGATGGCTGGATCCTATAGTAAGATAGTATCTAGTTTCAGTTATGCTAAATGGCCTTCCAAAGTAGCCATACGATTTTGAATTCAAACAAACAACGATTAAACATTGCTGTTATTCTACATCCTCTCCAGTATTTGATGTTGTCAATGTTTTCGATTTTGGCTATACTAACAGATATGGAGTGGTGGCTTTTTTTGGTGACATGTCTGTTCAGGTTTTTTGTCCATTTTTCCATTACATTGTTTGCTTTCATATTGTTGAGTTTTAAGAGTTTGTATTCATTGAATATCAGTCTATTATCATACACACACACGCGCGCGCGCGCGCAAATACACACACACACATATATTATGCAAGTATTTTCTTCCATTGTGCAGTTTATCTTTTCATGTCCTTAATAGTGTCTTTGGCAGCAGAAGGTTTTACTTTTAATGAACTGCAACTTAACAATTTCTTTTGTCATAAATTGTGCAGTGTTGTATCTAAGGTGTCATCACCAAACCCAGTTACCTGGATTTTCTTCTGTTACCTTTGAGAAGTTTTATGATTTTGTATTTTATATTTAGGTCCATGATCCATTTAAATTAATTTTTGTGAAAAGTATGAAGTCTGTGTCTAGATTCATTTTTTTGTATGTTCCAACTCAGTTCTTCCAGCATCACTTACTGAAAATATTATCTGTTCTTCATTGAGTTGCTTTTGCTCTTATATCAAAGATCAATCGACTATATTTATGTGGGTACATTTGTAGGCTCTCTATTTGATTTATTTCTCTATTTATTCATCAATACCTCACTGCTTTGGTATTGTAATTGTATTGTCTGTCTTGAAATTGGATCGTGTTAGTCATCTGATAGCGCTAAAACCAGTTTGTGTATACCCACAAGGGAACTTGCTGAAATTTCGATTGGAATTGCATTGAATCTACAGATCAATTTGGTAATAAGCAACATCTTAATAATATCAAGCCTTCCTATTCAGGTTCATAAATATCTCTCCATTAATTTAATTCTTCTTTTAGTTCATCAGAATTATGTCATTTTCCTCATATTTATATATTATACATATACTGTCTCACATATATTACATATATATTAAATTGGTGCAAGAGTAATTGTGGTTCTTGCCATTGAAAGTAATGGTAAAAATCACAATTATTTTTGGACCAACATAATATAACACATATTGCTGTATATATATTTTATATGTCCTCTGCTAAATTTCTTCATCATTTCATTCATTGTTGTCAACCTTTTGGAATTTTGACCAAAGTTAAATACTTATTTTTAATATATTGTTTTTAAGTATCAGAATCTCTGTGGCTCTGCTTATATATTTTTCCTTTGCCTACTTATGTGACATATTTTAAGACATTTTGTTGCCTTCTGAGAATTAGATTTAAAGAGAAATCATAATGGAGACTGAAGTTAATATTATTTTTCCCCAAATGGAGCATGCCCATTCCACTGTCGGGAAGCTAGGAGAGAGGTTGATTCCTTTTATTCCTTTAGATATAGAGTTGAATTTGAGCTGTGTATAATTTTAATTAGTTTCAGTTCACATTTAGTTTTTAAAATCTTCATTTTGAGATCTTATTTTCATTTAGCCCTTTCATCTTTAACGTTTGGGGGATATAAATCCCCATGACTATGAGAGATCTCATTCTGCTTTTAGCACTTCTTGCCACTTCCAATTACTGTACCACCTTTCCTTCAGTGGTATACAATAAAACAGAATAGTCAGGTTTTGAGAGTTAAATGTATATTTGTGGAACTTCTAGATTTCATTCTCTCTTGTCATCTAAAAAAAAATTGCATCTCATTATCATAACAAAGTCCTTTTTCATTATTTTAGCAAAGTCCTGGGAAATATAATCCATAATGACAGTTTTTTAAGTACTTATGTATATTAACTTATTTATTGTTTACAACACTGTGGATAATGCACTATTACAATTTCCATCTGGAAATGGGAAAACTGAAACAAAAAAGTATTTAAAAGAAAAACTTACCCAAAGGCCCACAGCTAGTAAGTTGCTCACATGAAATTAATGCTCCGTATTCAGTGTGTCAAGTTCACTTTCAGAAGGACTATCCCAGGAAAGTTATTTTCTCTGCCTTGGGGACTAGAATTATTAATAAATGATTATAGATCTTAACATCTCTTTGCTCTTTCAGAATCTATGTATGGCTGTTTCTTTTCCAAACAATTTTTGAATAAAAGAGTCTATGTCTGCCCATCTTGTGACTTTTCAGATAGTACCATGTATCATGCCATCAATCCTCTGGCATCAATAAAATTGATGTCCTACACTCTCTCCACTGATCCCTCTGCCCTTGATATTTGTCTGATTTCCTAGCTTCAGCTGGTTTTAGCCCTCCTGTCTTAGCCCTGTGCTTGAACAAAAAGAGAGATTTAGCTTTCTTTTATCTCATATCTATCTCACTGAGCCTTATCTCTTGCTGCTCCTGGTCAGTGGAATGCTCTTTTCCTGGCTGTGGGATCTTTGGTCTTTTCCAGGCCTGTCTGGTGATAAGGACTGTGGATGACAACAGGGATATAGCAATAATAGCTTAGACATATTTATTTGGCATTTGGATGCAAATCAAATGAGGGTAAATATTGAGTGAAGACTATATTACAATATTAAATATTATATTTTATGTTTCTATACAAGCTATTGAGCTATAAATGAAGCTGAGGTCAAGTTAAAAAACAAAACAGGTAAATAATGTTGATTTTCAATAGTATTTCATGTCATAGGCATTGGGCAAGACTCAGGTCAAATTCTAATTCAGGTTGAAATAATTCAAAGTGACACCTCATACCAAGTAAAGAGAGAAAATGTGGCACATATACACCACGGAATGCTATGCAGCCATAAAAAACGATGAGTTCATGTCCTTTGTAGGGACATGGATGAACGTGGAAACTATCATTCTCAGCAAAGTGACACAGGAACAGAGAATCAAGCACCGCATGTTCTCACTCATAGGCAGGTGTCGAACAACGAGAACACATGGACACAAGGAGGGGAGCATCACACACTGAGGTCTGTTGGGGGGGACTAGGGGGAGGGACAGTGGGGGGTAGGGAGTTGGGGAGAGATAACATAGGGAGAAATGCCAGATATAGGTGATGGGGATGGAGGCAGCAAACCACATTGCCATGTATGTACCTATGCAACAGTCCTGCATGCTCTTTACATGTACCCCAGAACCTATATATATATATGACATTAAATCTTAAGTTGAGCATTTAAAAATATAAGAAAAGAGCTACCTGGTTCACATAAGTGGATCCTCTATCAATGTCCATATTTACAAATGTAAAAGGCCATTACTGGCATTTAGATAACCAATATTCACATTTGGAGCTCTTACTTTGATGACAGAGATTAGAAATAGAATGGAAAATATCACACCACTGGTTTCTTTTTGTGAGTACAAGAAGGTCTCTCTAATATCTTGTGTCTGTGTTAGCATGTATTCTTTAAGATGAAAAATGACAACTCAATGTAATTGTCTTCTTATCTAAGCTGAGAAGAAAGTCCACAGGCATGCATATTAATTTTTAAGTCAGTGATCATTTTTGTGTGTAAATAGTCCAAGTACCATGAGCCACTATTTTAGTTGTGGATAAAATATATTCAGAAATGAAATAACCATCTCCGCTAATGACAACTGCAGCCCACTCTCATCCTGGCATTCAGCGAAGGCTTGTCATGCTGTCTTCTCTTTTGAAGTTCCATGAAGAATCACATTAATGGGGTGAATGCTTCCATTTTAGGTTCCATTTAGGCTACCCTATTAACTTTCTGTTAAAAGCTTTTTCTATGTTTTTTTTTTTCACCCCCATTTGAACATTTTCTTGTAAAATCTCTGGCTAGAAGAAAATTTCCTTTAGGAAACTTTGACTGAAACATAGATACAGATTTTAAGTTATAACCTTTTGAAGAGAAATACAGGTTTTCTAACTCTGTAAAAAAAATTCAATTCTATCTTTTATTTCATATAGTCTTATTCAAATAGAGCTTGATATAAAACTCTAAATCTGCCTTTATTTTATTGATCCTACTTGAGAAGTAGTAGATAAAACTTTTGTTAAATTTAACACATTACTTTTAAAATCTCAAATTTCTGAACACTGCAACTATGGAATGATGCTATTCACTGCTTTATCCTATACTTTTTAGGAAAAAAAGTAGAAGAATTGTTATCCTGGATCAATTTTTTAGTTTCCTCTGGGAAACATTTGTAGAGAAATCTTTTGGCATCTTATCGAGTCCTAATAATGACTTAAATTATGATTAGCCAGAATAGATATTAAAAAGAAAGTTTGAGGGTACCCCATTACAATCTTCTGCTCCCAAATACCAAGTGTGCTATTTTATGTTGTTATAGCTTAAGTCCTTGAGGACTTGACAGGGAGTTTTGCAATGATTTGTGAATGGAAAGTCCACTCGAAAGTACTCAATATTAAGAACTAAGAGCACATTAAGAAGAATCTTGCAAGACTGATAAGTTAGTCCTTTTTTAAGATGGAGGAACATAACTGAGGTTATGTTCATTTATGTCTTGATGATAAAAGATCATCAGTCAAAAAAGGTAGCAAAGAATGTTCTTGAAGAGGGAGTAGATTATCGAAATGACCCCAAGAACTCTGCTTCTGGGAAAAGGGCAATATTTGGATAAGCTGAACTGGTTAGTTGGAGAGTTATAGGCATGA